ATTCTCTTTCTATTTTTAATTTTAAAAAATTATAAATATATTAATATAATAAAAGAAAACAAATTCGATTCTTTCTGTATTTATTTCTTTTTCTTTTCTAGTCCAGTAAATTTTTCTCGATTTATCAACCATTTAACCGTTAAATTTTCTCCTGACTAAATATGAGTAACAATTTGTGATCTAAGAACAAGCCAACCACGACTCAGCAATGGTAAAAATATGAAGTAAATCTTTAAATTTTAACAATAAGAAATAAAATATTAAGAAAATACAAAATTAAAAATGTTTAGAATCACATAATACATTGATCGTCAAAACATCTTTGATGTACGAATTTTTATGTCCTCCAAGAGTTGGGAAGTAACGCGTTATTTTTGCAACATTGTTGCCGTTTCCGTTATTTTTTTGATAATAATCGTTATTTTTTGTCTGTAACTATAAATATTATAATAATAATGTATCATTACATTTTTAGTAATTATTTAGTAATTATTTAGTAATTATTTAGTAATTATTTAATAATAATTCATGGTTAATTCAACTTCTTATTATTTTATTACAATACTTTAATTTATTTTTATCTTTATATTTATATGAAAATAGGTTCTTATTATCTTATTCATTATTCTTGATTAAATAGAAGAAATATTTTGTCTAAATAGGAATTTAAATCATAAATTATAAATATTATAAAAACCAACGCTGTTCGTGTATATGAAGATCGGACAAAAATACTTTTTGACTTTAAAGTGTTATAACAGTTCAAATATAATATTTACATTAAAAAAATATGTATCTTTAAAGATGTAGAATTTATTTAGCTACAAAATTTTCTTTGGTTTAATTTTTTTATGTAACGAGAAAAAAGTTATATTTGTTTAAAACCTATGAGGAATTTTGTTACAACCGATATTTGTAATAATAGAGGAGAATAATTGTACCAAGAAGATCATTGGAGATTTCTTTTCATTTTTGCACTAAAAGATCGTTTTTACATAAAACTGAAAATAAGAGATAAAATCACCTTAATCAATGGCCTTGATCTTGACAAATATTATTTAAGGCATGATCCTGAACAACATTCATACATACAAGAGGTTGTAGTCGTCGGACACCTTGGGTAATGTACTAATGAGCGGTTTGTAACTTTCAAACTTTGTAACTCGAAAAGTAGTAACTTAATAAAAAGTAATTTAATTAAAATGAATTTATTAGCAGCATATTTATTAGTAGCATTTTGAAAAGCTCTTGACTCAGCTATTAGATTCTGGAATTAAAATTAGAATGTCCCATTTAAAAAAATCGATAATCTGACATTGGCGATGCTATACCCAAGATCAAACTGATAAGATCAATAAATAGATCTTTTTGACGTCTGCTTAAGTTAGTAGAAGATCTATCATATCATAAAGCGGCCCCTCTCTCCCTTTTATTATATTAATAACTACTAATTGAAAAAAAAAATATTCATGCCTGTTTCCACCAATTAATTTTAATCTTGGTTTAGACTTACTTTGATAATTATTTACTTTAGGGGAGGCTTTTCCTTTGACCTTAATCTTAACATAGGTGTATAAGCTTAAATCCGCTGTTTTTTAGTCAGAAAAACACATTTTTTTTTCCTAGAAAGCAAAAACAAATTTATTCAAAGTACTTGCCCTCGCTAACTATACATTTTTCCCATCTTTCGGGCAATTTGTGTATACCACGCCAAAAAAATTCCTCATCTTTCGAGGCAAACCACTCATCAAGCCATTTTCGGACGTCTTCGTAAGAATCGAAATGCCGCTCAGCGAGCGCGTGGCCCATCGACGAAATCAGGTGATAATCAGAAGGTGCCAGATCTGGTGAGTAAGCGGGATGGGGTAGCACTTCCCAGTTGAGTGTCTTCAAGTAGTTTTGGACCATTGTTGATGTGTGCGATGGTGCGTTGTCGTGGAGGAAAATCAGCTTGTCATGTCTTTTTCGATAATGCGGCCTTTTTTCACGCAAAGCACGATACAATTTGATTAATTATTGGTGGTAACGGTGAGCATTAACAATTTCACCAGGTTTTAACAGCTCGTAGTAGATGACACCCTCCTGATCCCACCAAACGCACAGCATCGTCTTCCATCCGAAACGATTTGATTTTGAGGAAGATGTTGATAATTGGGCAGGATCAACCCAAGATTTCTTGCGTTTAGGATTCTAAAAATAAATCCACTTTTCATCGCCTGTCACAATCCGATGCAGGAACGACTTTCTTTTTTGTCTGGCAAGCAAAATTTGGCATGTGTTTTGGCGTCGCTCCATCTGCCTATCGTTCTGTTCATGCGGCACTCATTTTCCGATCTTTTGAACCTTCCCCATGGAGCCGCATGGAAATGGCTGCTTGAGAAACACCCAATTGCTCGGCAAGCATTTTTTGCGATTGGGTATCGTCCTCGTCCAAAAGAGTCTGCAATTGACAGTCCTCAACCTTCCTGGGCCGATTTTCACGCTTCTTGTCACTCAGATCAAAATTGTCGTCATTGAACCGGCGAAACCAATCTCTGCATGTTGTTTCCGATAAAGCATTGTCGCCATAGGTCTCCACAAGCATTCGATGAGATTCGGCAGCCGATTTCTTCAAATTGAAACAGAAAAGCAAAGTTTCCCGCATATGCTTTTTTTTTAGCAAAAAACTTAGCAAAAAGACATGATTACGAAAGAACAAATGTATGTTGTATGAAATTGCTGATGATGTGCACTGGTTAATGTTGACAGACGTCAAATACATTAAAAAAAGTGTATTGTGTGCCCAGGGTAGCTTTGTACGCTCACTAATGCCACCTATGAGCAAACAGCGGATTTAAGCTTATACACCTGGCTTGTATCCTATATTGTCACTCTCTGAGTGACTTCCAACAGGTTTTAGCTCGTTATTCATTAAAAAATTATTAACAATCAAAGTTCATAATTATTTTCCCGCTTTGAATGAGGAAAATCGGATGATTCTAGCAAAGACCTGGACCGAAAAGTTTTTTCGGTTCGATTTCGATTTCGATTTAATAAAATAAATGTTCCGATTTCAGTTTCAGTTTTTTTTTTCAATAAAAAACCCGAAACTGTAAAAATTATGATTTTTTTTTCGGTTCTACTTACTTGCTTTCTTCTATTTATTCTTTAAATTTATTTTATTAAGAAGAGAAAGGGGAAGGAGGAGAAGAAAGAAAGAAAGAGAGAGAGAGAAAGAGAGAGAGAGAGAGAGAGAGAGAGAGAGAGAGTGAGCACATTCATCCGATCAATCTAGAGAGCTTAACCGAAGAAAGGAGTCAACTGATTACACTAAACAAAAATTATGTAAATATTATTTTAAACGCATTTCTCTCGATTTTTATAACTTATTTTATTCTCTCTCTCTCTCTCTCTCTCTCTCTCTCTCTCTCTCTCTCTCTCTCACACACACACACACACACACACACACACACAC